AAAGTTCTTGAGGACAATTCAATTTGCATTATTACGTTGAAAAGAAAAACAGATTGAAGAGCGAATGAAAATATGCAATGCCCTAAATAAACATGGAAAATATTTCCATTAATTTTATAAAGCATGAATTTGTGGATAAATTAAATCCTGTTGATAGGAGAGGAATCAATTTCCCCTCAAAGAATTGATAATGTGAAACTTCAGAATTTAGAATCGTTTTATCATTGAGTCGTAAATCAGCCCCTTTTTTTAAAGGAGGAAAGAGCTGAGTCGGCATTTACTTTAAGTTTTACCTCGGCATAATCAGCTAGTTTAGGAAGTAAAATACCAGGACATTAGGCCGTCTGGTATAATTCTGAGCTTTCCTTTATCCAAAGGCAGCTTTTCTCTTAATCGTAGTATTTCCTGTCTAATATGTACACACAAGCTCGATATTCTAAGCAGAATGCAGCAAGATGATACAGACCTGATGTCTTATAAGAAGATGGTCAATTTCGTAAATCAGAAGTGCGACTTGAGTAGGCATGTCCTGAGCGGATAACCTTTGGTTGCACAACTTAAAGCAAAATTTCTATCCCTGTGGGAGAAGATACAATTTATTGGTTTTCATTCGATCATTGCTAGCATTAATCCTAGTTGTGCTTGGTTTTACAGGTGGTTATAGCTATTCTATCCTGCGCTACGTTAAACGCAAATCTTATTTTTACTTTCAGAATTAATGAGCAATCCATCCTAAAAGCTTTTTCTAATCAGTGAAATACTGCAGTTTCGACGTTGCGCAAATTATATAAGCAGAATCTTAACCAAGGATGTGTGGGTAATAAGGCAAACACGTTACTACCTAAGCCACAGCAGATATATCTCAAATCCTATATTTGCTGGTGATTTTATATCGATGGGCAATCACATGTTTATTTTTAAACCCTTTTAATTGCAAAGTTGATGTTAGTACTTAATTGGTTGCCACCATCGGTTAGTCCATGGAAAAAGATGTAAAATGTGTCAATGAGTCAGTTTACTGGTAAATACAACCGAACGAATTCTAAGAATACTTAAAAACACGTATCAGACATAGTGAAAAACACATGATTGTACATTTGTGAAAAATTATTTATTAAAGCAGCCAATTGAAGGAGGCCTGCTTTGCTTAAAAACACAAAAATATGCTAAGGAGCGAAGTGATTTCCTCCCAGCCCGAATACCCATACTACAAGTTTTGCGGAATGTGCTAAAAAGACTGAGAAGAGATTGAACTTTAGCTCGACCTTGATGAGAATGACTTCTTTAAATGCATGATGCAATGAATTTTGATGGAATAAAAAAATATTACATAAGGTGAATGGGATAAATGCGCTTCTTTGGTCCCCCAGTCCATTCTTAATTACAGCTAAATTCGACCTACTTGGCTTTTCTCTAAAATTTATTTGGATTCTTAGTTTATAATTGTTTTTTACTCCTTTTCGAGAATAATTTGTTACAAGCTCTCCGCAAGCTTACTCTTACACTGCCCAGTCTCGAAATAGGCAATGTTACAGTTGTAGAGAATGACCAAATAGTCTTTAGTCAAAGAGAGAGGTAACTCTGGTTTGTTGCTATGATACCCTTATTAAAAGAAAGTTTCTAGGCTGTGTCCATCTAAAAATTAATTCCCAACGAATTCTAGCAAAATACCAGGAAGAAGAGTTCTGCCGCTATAGACTAAAGTAGTTACAACATAAGTTGGAAATCAACTTGCAGTTGCCAATCCGTTATTATTCGTTAGACAATATTTTCAGTCTCAAATGAATAAATCTCTTAAACCGTCGAGTAAGGACTGAATGTCCTTCCGACAATATCGAAAACCTGAAATTTGGACTTGGCAATGGCACGATAAAACTTGAAACCTTTGTTCGAGATTATATCCGATAAAAAAAAGCATCATGCACACTATTTTTACTTGATTGTGGCAATAGGAAGGAAATTCAGCTTGCCGTCAGGCTGTTCTTCCCTTTTTTCTTGCCTCAATCTCTCAAATAGTGATTTCTTGATCATATATTAAGTTATTATCATAGATAGGATCTGCAGGGCCTCAACAAGCCGAGGATGCTTCTTTAATTATTTTATCCATTCTTCTCATTGCCTGGTCCTAACTCTTGTGTGGATCGTTCTGGTTCAACATTTTCTTTATTGTCAGATCTATATATTTCATTTCATACTGAAAATTGCTATGCTTTAGTGATTTTCTATCCACTATGTATTACGCTTAACCTACAGAACGATAGACGCATATGCAGGTTGGCGTGCGAAAAAAGTAAAAGTCATCTGGATAATTTGGAGACTCAAATGAATTCCGCATACCTCACTCTGGAGTGCTCCGCAAGCGCCCTCGAGAAGGCCGAGATTTCCAAACGCAACCAACAAGTATTTCATAATATCACGAAGTTTCAGGTAATCAAATTGATTAGTCTTGCCTTTTATCTAATAAAATTTGAAGTCGCACATAGTCGATGAGAGAGTTTTTCCAAATTAGCAAAAGACTAGGGAGGAAATGGTCATATTTAGTTAAAACATATTCTCTTTGAATCTCGTTCCCACTCATTTGCCTAACCGAATTCTTAGGTACAGGGGGGCTGTCCTAATTGATATTATTTCTCATGTTTTTTGTACTCGTCAAAGTTTTCACGAATATGATTGCTATTATTAGGCACCAGTTTTATATGTTCGCAACAACAACGAATAGATTACTAACCAGACAGTGACGTATCGAATTCATCGACAAATGCACAGTTGCCTATCCATGTCAAAGATCCCACCAGAGATGTTAGTTGTGATAGGCTTGCTTTTCCTTAAAAGTCATGCTTACTAAACAATTTAATCACACCTAGCTATAACATGACTCATTCTTAAATCACACGTCCTTGGGCTAAATCTTTTCTGGTGGAGTGATGACAGGATGAACTGAATTGCATTTAGAGATGCATGGCGCAGTGATTTTCAATGCAAAATCAGGCCGTAGGTAGGATTTGGTATCAGTTTCTATAATACCGTGCGAAACTGATTCAAATTCACAACAATATTTCATAATAATGCGATATTAAAAGCCCTTTCTTGTGGTTAGTTCATAATATTCTCTTATAATACATCTTTCTTGTTTGTAGCTTAGTTTTAAGATTTAATACGCCTCTAAATAGGATGCTCTTATTATTATATTCATTATTTTACTCATAAGCTGTCATTTGAACACCCTCATGGTTGAGAAGGGCGCCGTTCCTGGCGTACTGAAGTAATGAGCATGAGCTATCTTAGGCTTGGCATTTTGAGGATTTAGGTATTGTTAAACAGAGGTGGACATTAGAACCCTTCTTTTACATCAATACAAGATACAATGCAGATTAGGCAACGACTGGAGCCATTTACTAATATGACCGATAAATAGAAAGATGGAAATGTTGTTGGAGCAATTTTGTTTGGTAAGCCTAGAGAACGGATAAATAATACATTTAGAGAAATGAGCTCTGATTAGGCAACAGTAACGGCTCCTGAAAACACTTAAAGACAGGAAATGTGTATTTAGCACGAAAGAAAGCAATTCAAGCTTAAGGGCTTAACTGATATGAAAGCTCGAGAAGAATGGTCCGGATGTGATAATCCCTGGCTGAAGTAGATTTTTGTGAATTAGGGCAAGATAGAGATGAGAGTTAGGAGACTCAGCCATAATCAAGCCTTACAGAGCACTATACACTGTTGCGCCGATTAACGGTCTAATTAAGCTTCCTGGATGTAGACCGTCGATGTTTCTTTGGACATCCATTGTGCTTGTGAGTTCGATATGTCTTTGTTTATGAAAAAAATCCAAAACGTTAGCAGATGCTTTTCCGCGACTAACCAAATCTAGTCCCTATGACGCTTTTATCTCCTCTTAGTCCTAGACCCATAGGCCTAAGGTATAAAAGTGGGTTGACCTCGTTGTTGCAACTTGGTCTTGTTCTCAGGGAGACTATGTAGAACGCACCTAGTCCGAAGTCGTCTGCCATAATAGTTGTCATGATTCCCAGCATCTGACAGGGGACTTGATACCTTCCCTCGGCAACCGTTCTGCTGGAAACGGTTACACTATCACTCCTCTTTCTGTCATTGCCTTTCTATCTACTATTTACACTCTTATCCCACTGCCGCCCTATCACAACTTCTCACTTGTTTACATTCCAATCATCCAAATGTGTGCCCTTTTGTGGCAAACCTAGTGTGGCCTCATTACACTTGCTATTTACCCCGATCCCTCTATTTCGATGGGCTTATCCAACTCGGGTCTCCAATTCTGATCCCTTCATTGTCTCGTAGATCCGTTCCTTATCTTTCTCGTTGACCGATTTCACTCGATCCAGTCCCTGATACATGT